CGAAAGCTGTACCGGAAACACCACCAATACTAATTGGAAATACAGCAGTCCGAGTGGAAGATAAACAGGATCGGATTTGGATAGTGCCAAAATTTGATGAATTTGAAGTCTTTGGGGGGTTACAGTCTGGACATTTAGACTTGATAAAACCAGTTTTTCCGCACCCATAGCATGTTAAAGGAGGTCGCTTTTCCTCTGTTTGTTGCTGAACACGATTTGAAAAGGTTTTATGAGTTCCCTGTATGTCACTTGTTCGATTTTCTACTTTGTGTTTGGATGGATTAGTCGGTTTGTAAGAATAGTTTCCGCCTGCCAGGAAGTTGAGTTTTATAGTTCGTATTTTTAACACGTACAGCTTCATAATCATCCAATTTCTGTACTAATTCAGATGAACTCTTTATTTTTCCCCAAGTATCAATAAAATGCTCCTTAACGTCACTACTGACTCTTCTTTTAAGCTGATCCGTCAGGACCAAGTCTTTGAGTGATTCAAAGTCTGTAACATCGAGACTATGGAGCCACTCTTCGAGATAATTGTTTAATTCGTAAGTAAAATCTTTCCATAAAGACCCAGGGTGTTTTTGGTGTGTAGTAAGTTTAATTCGAAATGATTCAGCATTTAATTTGAATCTTTGTAGCAGAATCTTCTTGATGTAAGAATAATCTTCTAATTTGTCTTTTGGTTCTCTCTTAAAATAATTTGCGAAATGTCTATAGGCAGAAGAGGTAGGAGATGAGTGATGTAATCTATTTGTTTTATATTAACTTTCTCACATTGTCTTTCAAAAATTTGCAGGTAGGTTGCAATGTCAGAAGTTCCTGTAAATTTAGGGATTAGGTGTTGAATATTTGTTCCAATAGCTGCATTTGAAGCAAAGGCGGCATAGTTAGGGTTTGAGCTAGCAGCTGCCAGGTTTAATTTTAAACGTTCCAATTCTAATAAAAGTTCTTGTTCTTTTCTTTGACGTGTCTCCAGATCGTTGCTTTCACGTTGTTTTTGTTGTCTAGTTTCGATTAAAGTTTCCAGAAGATTCCTGGTAAAAGCCTCATCATAAGTGTCAGAATTGACAATAAGATCTTTAAGATCTATTACTCTCGCATAGTGTCGTTTACAGTGAAACCCAGTTCTGCAGCGAGAGTTTTTAAATCCTCTTTTCGTGCTTTGGCAAGGTAAGCCATAATTATATGAGAGGTCAGGGGGGAGGGAAAAGATGAAGTTGAATTTGTTGTTATTTCGATTTTATTCACAATACAGTATTTTAGAATTAATAATTATACCTTTAAGTAAAATGTATATACCCCTATTAAACAGCATGTATGAATGTAAACAATGTTACTCGTACATTTATATACCACTATTAAACAGTATTTATAAATGTAAACAATAATACTCACAAAGTTTATTATTTCGGAGTCGTAAAAATATCATAAAATGCCCTCATAAATTCAACTTGTATCAAGAAAATAACATATAATAAATTGCTCAAAAATTGTTTACTACTTAGCAAAACATACAAAACATACATAAATGTCTTACCATAAGCTTTTATATTTAAGCTGAATTCTTCGAAATCTTAATCTTAACAAAATATTAAGCTGATTAAGCAACACACACTTAGTAACTCTTTTACTTTATTTAAATAGTCATTCGATTTTATTCATAATTATTTTCTTTCGCTTCAAGAAATATTTTTTAAGACATGCATTCATTAAAGGAAAACAATCGTATTTTCTTAAAGTATTATACTATAATCATTTTCTCAAAATGTTCGTCGAAAGATAAATCAACAAGTACAATATTTTATTTTATGTAGAATAAAACATTTAATAAGGAACAACAGCACTCAAAGGAAATAAAAATAATAAAAGATTTGACGTAAACACATCATAAATCATCGCTAGTCTAAACATTTCCGCGGGGGGAAAACATCTGCTGCTGTATGTCAGAAGCGAACTAATAAATTAAATTCTAATGAACAACGTCCATGAATATATTCAAACTTTAACATCAAAACATGTATTCAGTGAAACAATATTATTCACAAATTAATTTACTATGCGCATTAACATTTTAAAATAACAAATTACAATTCAAGAAATAACGTTTGGTTAACAGAAAGCCGTTTGCTTTCGTTTAATACTCTTATGTAGTATCAATAAATGAGATTTCAGTAAAGAATTTACATTTGCTTTAAGAAGCAGCTTATAATAAATAATCAGTTTAAAAGAACTTTAAACTCAGATTAAACGATAATGTAAACGAAACTTATCTTTTCCGTTGAAATTGTCCAGTTGATGATTCGATGTGCTAGCAGCACGGTATGACAATTTTAATTCCAGAATTGGTTTCCAGAATATTTGACCAGTAGTCCACACCTGAAAAGAAACTGAGCCGATCTCCAGCAACTAAAAGTTAAATTCGGGAGTAAGAGCTTGTTAAAGCCAAACAGAAATTCTAAAACATTTTGTTGCGCCATTTTTGGATTCAAATTTAGTTGGGCGCCAATGTGATGTAGCCGTTCCTCAATAGACACTAATGCCGGCTAGCTTTAAAAGGATTTATTAACAGAGCACACAGGAACGGTTACAAACAAAAGAAATATACATAAAAATGAAACATATACCAAATGGAACATCAAACATTGAGAATAACATAACATAGTAAGCTATCATCATGGCGACTGGAGGTCGACTGACGTTTTTTCATATCGCCACGAGATGGCGTTTAAATAAAATAGTTCGGTTACAGTCCATGACATGAATAAAATAGTTCAATTACACTTAAATAGGTCTGTTACAATATCAAATTTTACCAGAACACAAATTAAATATAAATAATACCAACGCATGGCAAAAGCAGTAGTTACCGTATTTGACGGTATATAAAACGCCCTGGCATATATGAGATCTAATCTACGAATTTTATCATATCATTTTATCATATTATCAGATCAAATCTACGAATTTTATTGTGGCCAAGAGGTAAAAATTGCATCCTTTATTGTCTTGGCTTTTTGCAGCACACAGATGTCAGTTTAAAATTATCCAATTCCTTCCTACATTTTAAGGATACTCTTCGGGAGACGAATCCGAGTGTCTCCCATTTCTACTTCCCTTCCATCAGCCTCTCGAAAGGACTTTAAGCTCGACAGCAGTACCCTAAGACTGCAAAGATAAAATATACAGGTAGAAGTTGGCGGGACTCCAGATTTTCATCATAAGTTATACAAGCACAGTGCCACATTAATTGTACAGTTCCACCCCAATTCTGATAAGGAAACACCCTGGGGGGGGTGATCCGTACCCACAGTTTCTCTAACCATCATGCTCATTAGGGTGGTAGGTACAACACACGGATGCAGGTAGGAGCTAGGCCAGACCATAGGTAGTCTATAATACAACAGATGATTGTGATCTTGCATTGTCTAGCTAACTCTTAAGTTTCCACACCAATTTTAAAGGAGAACAACCCGGAAGGCAGTCTGAAGATCACCCACCTCTCTTTCCCTATCACCAGCCTCTCGAGAAGATATTTGGCTTACCGTCTATTTGAAGTGCACCCTTGCCACACAGACACTATACGCTTACAAACAAACATCCATGTCTTCTCCGGTCATCGGTACAGCAATCAGTATGTACCACTGTACCGGCTGTACGGCAGACTTAATACACATGTACAGGTAAAAGTGGCCGGATAGTAGAATTTCCCCACTGATCGTACAGAGATACAATACACATAAAAATATCCATTCTTTCTCCGGGGATTCGAATTCTGCCGAGGGCTATGAAATACAGTTTCCCTTCCGCCATGAAAAATAGGGAGGCCTATAAAGCGTTCCTGAGGGAATTAAATTTCGCTTTTAATATTAGTTTATTGTAATCTGAATTTAAATTTCCGTTATTGTCATTCTTTGAAACACCATTTAAGAATAACCTTTGACCTTAAAGACACATGTCCCATAAATTTAAGAATGCAAGTGCGTGTGAAAAACATTATTCAGCCAATTCTTATTTTAAAGTTCAGTATCGCATGCAGTTTATCTTACTATTACTTTCTCTCTTAATATACTTTTTAAATACCAAACTGCGCATATTAAACGAATAAGATGTTCAAAAAGCCACTTTAAAAATATCGTTTCATGCTCAAGATAAGGTATTATTTATTAAGTCAAAATTATAATTTCTAAACTGACTAATATTCCAAAAATTTAACTGCATCAGTTTTTTCATTTTACTATTTTTTCTTGCTTTTCGGAAACCATTAAAGAATAACCTGAAACCAACTTGTGGCTGCGTGAATAAGAACATTGAACGCTAGCAGTTCGATCAGCGTTCGAATTCTGGCGAATAGGCTGGTAGCATGTTCATTTTCATTGCTTTTTGTGAAATGAATATGAATCAGTTCCTCTTAGAAGGTCATTAATAAAGACAGATAGCCCTCCTATGTTTGCCCTAATTAATATGTCTCCGCATTTTATTAATATAAATGAGCCAACCGAAATAAAGTGTTTCTGTGAAATTTTCATAAGACAAAATAAAGTAAAGCGAAGAAGCAGTTGCCATTTGTAGAAAAATAGCATATCAAATTTTACCAGAACACAAATAAAGTATAAATAATACCAACGCATGGCAAAAGCAGTAGTTACCGTATTTGACGGTATATAAAAACGCCCTGGCATATAAGACGCACCCTTATTTAGAAGGCCACACACATGTAGATGTAGAAAATGTTATGTGTGTCTAGACCTTTATCCGGGCTAAAAAATAGCATTCAGTATTGAAAGTTAACCTGTGTCCTTCACGTATAAGACGCAGGTAACTTTCTTGAGACCAAAATGCGCTGCGCAAAACAAGCTTGTGTACAAAGTAACTCAATTTGGGAACTTTATTTTGAATTCTGTATAACAAACAAGCGTGAAAATTCGTATTTATGTTAGAGTGTGCCACCTTTTCAGTATTCGCGGTTAGCGATGCTGGCTGTGATGTCTTTGGACTCCGGCTCGAATCCTGGAGATGTGTGTAAGTATGCTGCATGGGGGTATTAAAAATACTGGAAATCCGAAAGTCTCTCGAAAAAGATAGGGGTAGCAGGAGAGGAGTGGGGGACCATAAGACCCATCCCCCTATATCAAAATTGTTCAGACGGAGCTTCTGTTTTCTCGCGAGTGCAAATCGATCAGCCCTTGTGGTGCACTCTGGAGAATATTCTCGGTATGATGTAAGATTTTATTATTTTTTACTAATAGTTATTTTAATTCGTTAGCATTTTCTGTCCTTTCTGGTTTCTTTTGCGTTTCCTCGCCAGTATGTAAATGAATTAGGGTGAATGAGAGTGTGTTTAAACTGATGTAGTGAAAAGGTTAGTCAGAGAATGCTTTCGTTGTTGAGTGCGCACGTTGCTATTGCTACTAGCTGTCTGAATTTTGAAACTCGGCTTCGCATTCTTGCCGCCGAAATTAGTGTCTCGCCGGTGTAAGCTTCTGAGTCAACCTGCTAGTCTTTTCGAGTCTACTAAGTGTAGTCTTGCATTACAGTTACTTTAAAATTTAGCTACATTATCTTTAAATTCCTCACCCCAAGTGGTTGCTGACAGTGTAAGCACGTAAGTAAGTGCCATCTATAAATAACTGTGTTCAATGAAAGAGTCTTTTATATCCTTACCCTGTCGTATTCATCATCTAATCTTTGCGATAAGCCGTTATACAGACTTCCAAGGTAGGTCTAGTAACAGTGTATGTTAGCAAAGACTAGATTTTATAATGAGACAGACGGCTACATGTCCCATGTGTTATGGACAGTATCGATGAATGCATTAAGTGTCCGGCCATTTGGAACAATACATATTAGAAGTCTTTTGCAGTTCTGTGCAGGCATTCAGAAGTATCTGCATATATGTTATATCGTACTTTTCAATAATTATTGCAAATGGTAATCGTTGAATCCTTTTTAATCAACCGAAAAATTCTCTCTAACTCTCCGGTTAGGTGAAAATAATGGCTAAACTCTATTTTCACTATTTTTCTTCTCAGATTTTTATTTTTTTATTTTTTTATTTTATTTTATTTTTTTTCCACCGTTAAGCGGAAATAAGTACAAATACAAATCATTAGAAAAGTTCAGCGCCGTAAACGAACTTTGTTAAACAGAAGATGCATGAATAGCGATTTTGTTTATTTGCATATAATCAATCGAATTTTTGTATCACTGTGGGACGATTAAAGAGGACTTCACAAATGGACAGACTATTAAATTTTGAAGTAACAACGCAAGATAACTCAACGCATGTGAGCTAGATATGTTGGAGGTTTTCTTAAAGTAATTAAATGTGTAAATACATATTTTTACGTAAACCTAAATAAATCCGTTTCCATTTAGCATGAAAAAGCAATAACATATTCTAAAATATAGTTTTTAAATTTTAAAGACATATATAGGATAGTAATATTTACTCAGAAAAGGGAATTTCCAGAAAAACATCATCTTTAACTTGGGCCGGTACGACTGCTGCGCAGTAAAGCACATTTTAAATAGGAGCTCGTAACAAAAAACAAGCAAATATTATATTTATCAAATTATGATTTAAAATAATTGTTGAAGCCCAAGTTTAATTACTTTTGTATGTATGATATTTACAGAATTTAGCCGTGTCACAACAAACCACCAAATTATTAAAAAAAATTAAACATAATTACTAAAGGATTATTAAAATTAACCTTATTTTTTCAGTCCAAGGTTATGATAAGTAACTCCACCCACGCACAATTGCATTTACTCATAATATAAACCTTAGAAAATCGAAATAGTAATAAGAAAATGGATAATTAAGGACAAGGTTTGGATAAGAACAAAGGAAGATATTTGTGCTAATACTTGCTATAGGTTGAGCTCTAATGTTATGATTTCAAGTGTAATTTTTAAGAAAATGCGAAGAGGTAGCATTTTAATTTTTAAGCTCATCAAAAATAAAGCAAGTCCTTAATTTTTATTTGAAGCACACTATATCGATTCCTTTGCTTTAATTTATAACGAATCATGTCATTACTGTCTCCCCCGCGCGTGCTGTCGTGGTATAAACTGATTTAAGCTCGAAGCTGAAGATCCGTGGTTCGAATCTCGGTATGATCAAATTTGATTCTTCTTGTTTCCTGGGTTATATAAATTCTAATAGCTTGTACAATGGATAATAATTCCTCACTACTTGGATTTGTTCGCCTGGGTCTCGTGCCTCTCCACAATCGACCTTTAAGCAGGGGAGATTATAGGAAATTATTTCATTATCCCATGCATGCTGTTGCGGTGTAGGGGTTAGCGCGTTCAGTTAGCATATAAAAGATTTATGCTTCAAATTTCTGCAAGAGCGCTTTTCTGGCAATGAAAACCTAATGAGTCTGTACAAATTATTATCCTTATCCTGTTCAATATACTTTATTACAAAACTGGAGAGAATAATGAAAATAATACTGTAAGGCAATGGTCTCAAACTCACAATGTATGTGGGCTAAATGCTCGATCTGAAAACAGCTGATGGGCCAGAATTTTTTTTTTAATAAAATGAAAATTTTTATTTTCAAAATAAAAAAATGTTTAAAAAATTTCGTTTACTAAGTATTTATAAAACATGAATAAACAATAATAAGGACCGTCACAAAGGGAAAAAAATTCAAATTTATATTTATTTTCTGTCTGGAATCTAAAGTTTGATACCTGAAAAACATTTTCATTCGTTATACTTTAATTCAAATACACTCCTGCTAAAATAAGCAACAAAGGCTAAACACGGAATAAAACAAAGACTATTTCATCCATATGCATGAAACTGATCCAAGAGGTTGGTGTGACATTACTAAACCACACAGCAAACAATATACAAAAACACATGTATTACGACCATCACATCGCAAAAGAACCGAATGGGTCAGAAGAATGTATAATGGAAAGATCACACAAATAAAGGGATGATACTGAACTGCACGCTTGACAAAGCGAGGCAAGTTGGCAATAGTGTTGTTGATCTCTTGTTGTGGCAATAGCGCCCATTCCTGTAGTAATCTATGCCAGAACTAGTACAAGGCAGCTGGCGGCACACTGCGATCTGCTATCCGTCATCCCAACATGTCCGACACATACTCCCAATGATTCAGCTCCGGTTATCTAGCAGATCACGGCAGATGGGAAATAGTTTCATTCTCCAGATAAATCTATCTCTAAGCAGGTGGGAGTGATAGTTCATAAATATCGCATAAATTTCGTTATCCATTGCAGCGATAACAGGACACACAAGAGGGTGCAACATTTCGTTGCGAAATCGGGCGGCTGTGACGGTACTCCTATGAATCACGCAGAGGATGGTGCGGCCGTTCATTGCTATCCCAGCCCATATAAGTAAGTATTCTTTGTAATGATCTCTTCCGACGTCATATGACGCTCGATAGTGTGGTCCCTGACTCTCACCATATCATTGCTCTTTTGGAATCGTTGTAGATGTTAAATAGAGATTCATCCGTAAAGAGTACGTGGTTCCACTGCTCTAGTGTCCAAATGTAATGTTCAGAGGCCTGGTTCGACCGCGCTCTGACATGCGATGGGGACAAAGGAACACAAACCACAGGCCGTTAGACGTACAGTCCACCTTCAAGCAGTCGACGCAACACAGCTTGGTAGGATATGGGCTGTCCTGCAGCAATAGGAAGATGCGACACCAGTTGTCGAAAATATTTTATTACTGTTAGGGATCTACGGCATCTTGCACACAGCAACAGGAAGCGATCGTCTACAGTTGTGGTAATTCTCCGGCGTCCACATGGGTTTTGATCCCAATGGTAACGATTCCACAGCCTAAGATCATACTGGGATGCACATTACTGAAGGTCTAAAAACCAACTCTCTTGTATCCACATCAGGGTTTCTTCGAGCAGACAACGACAGAAAACGGTCTTCTGATGTAGTTGTTGCTCTTGGTTGTCCTTGACAAGGCTATCTATCAACTGATCCAGTATTTAAAAGCGGCTCCAAACTCTTGATATGATATTCTTAGAGATGTTCAGATCTTGTGCGGTCTCCATTTGTGTTTGATCTCCCTCGTCGCCATTTTTGACCTTCATTTAAATTACGCTTTCGAACCATAACTATCACTCTCAGAAACCACATTCGTTTTAAACGACGCTAAAGACCGGAATTCCAACATGCATCCATTGCGCACCACGTTATCATTTACTGAATTTACATATATCCTAACGTGTGCGCGGAGGTGCAATTTTGTGTTGAATTGTATTTAATTAACATAAATAATTATAGCATTGGGCTCTAGTTGCAACATTAATTTAGTGAGCTTATATTTTCTCATTATCATTTAATTTTGATGACCAGTGTATATGTAAGCTATATGAACCTAGCTCATATAAGTTTTATGGTTTACCGCTTGCGTAACGTGCATGCGGTAAACTCCATGAAACTACATGACTCTAATGTAAAATATCTTAGTATTTAATCCGATATTCTGCATTTCCTGTTCTTTGGTAATTTGATGCTGTAATTTTCTTACACTTGAAACAAATTTTGTGTGTGGAAAGAAAGCATTAATATAATAAAATTACAGTAGTTTTAAATGCGATGCAAACAAAATTAATAATTAGCATAAATAATATTTCTTGAATAAATTTAGTAATGCACTACATAAAGGTGTGAAACAAAATTAAATACAATCAGTAGCAGATAAGACATGAATTGAATCTTCATAAGAACTTCTACAAATATCTATTGTAGATTAAAACACCTCAAATCTAATAAAAGTTAAAAGAGAAAATTTATACTCAAAATCACTAGCGATGAGGGAATGGAATTTATATAATTTAAGTTTCATTAATTCAATAAATTTTATTTATTGCCAGGGAGCCTTTTCCTAAGCACTTTCGATAGTAAAGGCTAAAAATTAAGAAACCGGAAAATTCAGTGATCTAACAAGGTGCCAGAAGATGTAATGAAATACGGGATGTTAGGCAGTTCGCCCATTCTTCATGATAAGAATCCAGTCGAATTAGTGATTTTAACCATACTGTTATTGATGGGCAATACATGAATACATGGGTACTTCCATGGAGATAAGAAAGGAAAGAGGGGCCAACCCCGCACTACGAGTGAAGCATTGCTCCGAGGCTTCGATCTCCAAATAGGGTGTTTTTTGTTTACATTCAGAAGCTCTCTTGACAGTGCTCTGATAGTATTTCGATACACGACAGTTCCATACAAACCGAAAAACGCGGCTTTTCCGCACAAAAGAAACATTCACTGTGTGACGGCTAATAGCAATTTGTATAGTTTAGTGACATTCACCCAAAAATCACATCTTTGTTATTTTTCGATAACTTGCAACAGCGAATTTGCGGTAGCTTTAAAATTGTATACGTCTTTCGATGATTGATAAAGTATTCGCTACTTTTATTTTATGTTTCGAACGCCAAAATGTTTTAAATAAAATAAATCTAATTTTTAAATGTATTTAAATTTATAATGATTACAAATATTATCTAAATATACAACATTGAATTGTACACATAAATTGAAATACTGTTGACAAATACGTTTATAAAGCCATTTAAGCAAGAATTGTTCGTACTGGAAAGCAATCTGTTAAAAGGTATTATAAAGAAAATTCTATAAGATGCATACTTAAGGAAGTAATAAAGAAGAGTTTTAGAATATGTATTGTTGAAATTAATGGTAAAAAAAATCTGATAAGTATAATTAAAAGAATTATTCCCTTACATTTTATAATAACTTAGTTACAAGTTTTAAATAATATTTAAAAAAATCCTTTTTTTTTATTCTCTTTTAGAAATATTCAGAGAAATTTAAGTACATGGAAATGAGCACTAATATTTAACGTCTTTCACTATTAAAATTAAAGGTGCTCTAATTTGAAATGGACCGAATAGAGCATTTATTATAAATTCATTTAGATTTCTCGATTTAAAAGATGACTCAGAAGCTAAAAAATTATGTCATATTTGAGAACGTATTTTAGAAAGAAGCTCTATTAATAAATAGAAAAGAAATAATGTATAATTTTAACATTAATAATATTAAAATTACTTTATGACTTTAAATTACTTAACTACTAATTATTTGATCTTAATTTTTCTAATCCTTAACCGTATAAAATCGAATTACCTTATTTTTTTTTCCTATTGTAATTAACGAAAACTTGTGAAAATATTTCATTCAAATTAAACCCCTCCTAGCAAACTGTTCTGTGAAAATTATAGCATTTAATTCCGTTCAGAGTGAAATGTTGCTTAAAAATGTATTCTAATCACATACCTAGGACTATGAAATATTGTAGAAAAAGAAAATTTATACATTTATTTGTATGTTTACGACGTAATTAGAAATATTTACATCCGATCGTGTCAAAACCCATTGATCCATAATGCTAAGTCACTGAATGTTTTGGTCACCACAAAGGGATCGTCAGTGCTTCAAAACAGTGTGTGGGGAAAACCGGTTAGGGCCTCTCCTTCTTACTGTCTACCTCATGATGTTTTTATTAGTTACCATATTTTGCCTTTTAAAAGTAAAACACTTTTCTTAACAACTGATTTCTATCTTCATAGTTTGCAGTTATCTTCGCTGCATTACTTATAGCAGCAGTTTATGGTAAGGAAGAGGAGAAGAAAGAAGAGAAGAAGCCTGTGGAGACAGTTGTCTGGCCTGGTATGTACACTCTCCAATGGCATCATAACGTTCCACTGAAGACCGTGCCCCTCATTCATCCAGTTCAGTACCATCCTCTTTACACATGGTGGCGTTAATCCTCTAAAGTAAGTACGAGGGAAAGTTTTGCAAAGGCAGAGCATTCTGTTATTTAATATCATATAGATTAATAGTCTATATTATATTATGTACTATATGACTAATAATTTGACAGCTTGGAATTTATCTTGAATTCAGTTTAAAAGTTTTTGTGTACATGAATGATACACTACTTGGATTATATTAAGAAAGGGTGCGATGCATCTAATTTGGTATCATAACTTCATATGCTTCTTAAATAAATGTATTATGATCAACTTTTCGTGTTGTAGTAACTTCTTAGTTTTGTTTCTCCTCACTTTTTGAAACTGTTCAAAGACAGAATATGGCGCTTTTTAACTTCTTGTAATATGTGACTTAAAACTACGAAATGCCTACTGAGACAGCTAGTTGGTCGATTTATTTGATTACGACAAAGCACTCGAAGGCTATCAGCCTATAAGGAGGGTAGCTTTCGTGAAGGATTTTCTAAGGGAAACTATATACACAAAGGACTAATACACCGTATACACCAAGGAAACGCCCATGCAAATCAGTCCGTTCGATGGGATTCGAACCCCGGACTGAACTACCAGTGTTCAACGACTTTAACGTTCGGCCGTTTGTGTGTTTACTGATGCAGCTAACAGCAACGTACGTACAACTTTTGATGAAGCTGGAAAATGCACAACAGTTGTATGGAGAAAAGATCAATAAGTGCAATAGTGATGCGTCAAGTCCAGGATTCCGAATTTTAAAGATACCCCGCATGCCACACGTAGTATACGTCCTTCAGGAGAAACTTGAAATACTTCTTCACAATTCAGAATAATCTAATAATCGTTTTTAAACGCAAATAATTTTCAACTGGATATGAAATATGGAATCAAGTACTGAATTCAATAAGTCTGAATAACGAAGAATTAACAGTACTATATACTTTCAGAGCAGATTTTTTAACATTCTGTGGAGGATTGCAATACATTTGACAAATCTTCTTGAAAATTTTACGTCTTTAACGGCTGACAGTTTTTCCAGCTGTTTCGGTTTCTTACTTGCTTGAAAACACATTAAGCACATCTTGGACATAATGTTGTTTACAAATACAGCACCTTGAATAGTAAATGTTGTTTTTCGAATACCTAACAAGACATGGATGTTTTTGAATGTAGTGCTTTTGCAGAACGGTGGCACATGTAATCCGGCGATTTCAGAGTTCTCTCAAAAGGCTTATGACAAAGAAACTGAGGGGCTTTGGACCCCGAATTCTATATACTGAAATACCGTTCAACAACAGAACGTAAGCTTTGGCAGATGATCTTCCTGCGTTTTATCTAAATTAAATAATCCAATCTGCAAAGTGAAAATACCATTAACAGCTGTGTGATTGCTCACTGTATTTAAACATAGAGTTTTTGGAACTTAAAAAAGATTTACTTTGTAGAGACATTAGGTTTTTTTATTTATTTTTATTTTTATTTTTTTTTTAAATTTTTTTTTAAGAAGCAGGAGATGAAAAATTAGCAAACGCCTTCGCCGGGAATTGAACCACGGACCTCTGAAATACCGGCTCAGTGTGCTGACCACTACACCACGAAGGCACGCTAGGAAGGCGGGAAAAATACCTTATAACTTAATCTAAAAAAATTCCATAATGTACTTGATAGCAAATGAAAATACTGAATATGTAACTTTAGGGGACTGATGGTGAAATTTAGTGCATTAATAGTTTAAACTGTTAAAGAACAAGATCTTTAAATAAAGTCTTAAAACAAGATTTTTAAATAAAGTCCTTTTGGTTGAAAAATCTGATTGTATTTTCCATTCCTTGTTGCTGCATAATCTCTCAAATTTTTATGTCTTTAATTAACAGTAATATAACGATCTGTTTTGTATTTAGATTGCATTTTAATACCTAGATCCATTCATCTGCCCAAAAGCATTCATACTTGCCTAAATAAACCCCCATGATTTTTTTTTTTTTTCATTATGCATTATTCTAGAACAGGGGTTCTCAACCAGGAGAATTCATAACTTCAGGGGGAGGGAATGCGGTAGACTTTTATTCACCTGTTAAGAATTTAGTTCTAGTTTGTGAACATTAAAAACTACTGTTTTTAAAGCTATGCCATTTGTCAACATCTACTGTACTTCTTTTATGTTTAAATTTTAAAACACATTAAAAATAGTCTAAATTTACATAAATGTACATGTATTTTTTGAGCTTTAGAAAGGAGAGGTGAGAAAAGATCGCCTAGCAATGGTGAAAGGGGTGCATGGGGCAGAAAAGGTTGAGAACTACTGGTTTAGAATGTGCCACCTATATTTATTTAGGTTAAATCTTTCGAAAATCGGATTTTGATCAGATCACGGTCAAGGTTTAATCATTATCATGTAATTATTTACCAACGGGTGACCGCGAATGACAAAAGTAACTATCTACGGACAAGAGGTTATATGCTTTTTACTGTGAGCTAAAGCAAAGCTATGAGGTTACTGTCTCGTACGTCTTTTACTCATAGTTCTGAGAACTACTGTCATCTATAATTAGAATCAAAATTTTGTTTCCTGCAGAAAAGGAACTAGTATTCATGATTTCAAGTTTCATAATGAAAACGTAACATGCGCATTTTTTGTTATTGCTTCGTAATCATTTCTGTCATGAATTATGCATATTTTCACGGCTTCTTTTTATTATTTTCATTTTAATTTAGAAGCTCACGTTTTATCCCTTTTTATTATGATATCAGTAACCAGAAATATTTTTTTTAGATTCTCTTCCCAAGATTGACCGGACTCAAGAAATGGATCATTATGCTTTAAAAATGTTATAGCTATCCTTCTATAAAATATTCAACAGAAAGGCAGCTTTCTTCCAATGAATTAAGTTTCATATTTCTGTATTTCGGTTCATAGTGAAAAATATAAGATTCCTAAAATAAGTCTTAATTTTTATGACAATCTTTTCACAAGAAAACAACACTTTATAAAAAGTGTAAGCATATGAAACATGATGTGATTTAATGATGTATATTTTTCTATTGGGTTTGGTACATTTTCGATGGCACTAATAAATAAAATGTAGTTCAATGAATTGATTTATGAAGAGGTTTAAAAATTATAATACTCAATTCACTGTTTATGTTTCGGTCTTATATAGTTACCTAATATTTTTAAATAATCACAAGAAATAGATTTCAAAACAATTAAATTTGTTAACATGCAATAAAGGTTTTTTTTTAAAGCTGTTTCTCGAACTCTTAGAAATTCTCATGATAGTCATTCAGTGTGTAAAATCATTGCTTAAAATCACACTTTATGCCTTTAAAACAGCTGCACTCAAGTCTTTCATTAATAACACCGGTTATATCTGGCATCCATTAAATGATTCACACTGGCTATGGTCTGTTATTTAAAATAGGAGGTTATTTTCCTCCTCTCAATTTCACTCGTAAACACGGGAACAGCAGCTGCGGAAAAAAGGTCGACTCGCTTAATTTTTTGGCTTGTTTTGCTTCACGAAAAGCGTGCGAATGAAGTTCGACTAGAACTACAGTCTTAAATGACGTGATGAAAATTAATAACATGTGTTGATGAAGATACGAGTTATGATCGCGAATGGGGGATGGCAAAGGCCCTGAAGTTCCTATTTTAAAGTAACAGACTATGGCGTACGCTTTTTCCGTCGTTCATTTCATGATTCATATTGGCTAGCGCCTGTTACATCCGACATCCGTTAAACACGACTGCAACTGATTCGAAAAGTTGTGATGAAATAGAATTTAATATAGACATATCACATCAAAGAAAATGGCGATTAAATGTACTGAGTTCATCAAAGGCTGAAAAAATTCATAATGTCAACGCATAAAATAGTACCAACCCATCAAATTCATTAAGGGTATAATCATGGCTAGTTTCTTGGTCACGAAAGGGTTAATGGTGTTCTATAAATTTTAAAGAATTCTTATATGAATTTTCAGATTTTTTAAAAAGAAAATTCCTATAAATAATCTGTTAAATGTTTTGGAAAACTGTTTAGTATGTTGTACTTTAGGTTGCAAGATCAGCATTACCAAAAGACGTCTTACATCGAACTTGGTAAATACTGAAGTATGTTTTTTCTCCAAAATGAATCAATAACAATGGTTTATAAAACAGTTTTAATAGTAGTTACATACTAATAAAGAATATAGTACTGTAAAACACATTGGCGCCCAGAATTAAAATTATTTTGCAGGTAAAATGTAAAATAATAGATTAAATTAAATATACTTCACAAAACAAACCTGAACGTCATAATTTTAATGTAAGAAAATGATTAAACACTAAAACTTTTATATTAATTATTAATGCTATTATTTTTACTGAAAGCCGCTTTATTGCGGATTAAATTACGGATATAATTTTTTTGTAGACACATTGTTTATTTCGCTTCGAAAGTATGTGCAAGAAGAGGAATTGGAATATTTCATCGTAAAAAGAAGCTCGTAAAAATGATTGAACCGAACTCAGTTAAAAGAAAGTTTCTCGTTGAACCGAACTCAGTTAGTTATTCGTAAAAGATATCTGGAAATCTGTTATTCAAATGGGAAATGATGTAGACTGGTGCAAGAAAAGTTTTTTTAATACAGAAAATTTTTTTTTTATAATTCTTATTAGGCAATAATATGTAAAAGAATACATGTCTATCAATGCCTAAACAATCTTGTACATTAAAAACGATAATTACCTTAGTTTACCTATATCAGGTTAGAAGGTTAGGTTATTTGAGTAAGCACACGAAATTATCTGTCTAAGAGACTGATGCCTGCATAGATGATTCTATATGGAGAACTGGTTCGTATATACGTTACACATGGCAAAAGCCACGAAAACCAACCATGAAGCCAGCCCATTCTTCTGTGATCGAACTCCCAACATTCAGTGGTCATCAGTGGTCCAATGGTTAGGCCAGTTTAGAAGGTCAAGTATCAGGTACATTATGAAAAAAAAAAAAAGTTTGGTGGTGAAGGCTATGATAGTTTAATTAGAAAAGCATTTGGTGGCATTGGTACGTCGAGTCAAGGTTTGAGTCCTATTGAAAACGAGATTTATTACAGTCTCGACATTGTGCGAATCATCTCTAATGAACCTTATTTAAGAGATGGAATATTTCTCCAAGAAAAAAAAATGAGTCAAAGAAAGAAGAATTACAGCTATTATGCATAAGAAGAAAATAAAAAGAAAGGAGAACATTAGTTGTTTCATTAATTGAAAGCACAGTAGTGTTAACTGATGAAAAGATCTGAAATTCAAATCCTAGTCCAAGCACATACTTTTACAAACCTCGTGATTCTTTTTTTCCCACAAAAAATCCATGAATGAAATTATGTTTTTGCTTTCAAAATTTTATTTCTAGATTTTAATTTTGGATGTTAGTGTGTTTAATCCATCTTAAAATAATGCCAGCTTTAAAATCAGATGTAATAAAAAATCACAGAGAGATAAAAACGAAGATACAACAATCGGTAAACGTAAGCTCGCAAAATAAAATTTAAGAATTTTTCATTTTCGTTTCAAAAACAAGACTTGCAAAAATCTATGTCTTCTCAACACAAACTTTTCTTTAAACATTTGAACAGGATTAGCTTATATTTGTACTTTTATTTTAGAGGTACCACTGAAATCATTTTAAATTGAAAGTCTGATGTATGTATGTGAAATATAGATGACATGACTAATAACATAAGGAAGTTTGTTGAAAAAATATGAAAGACAGGAATAAAATGATTCTTAAAAAAGTATTAAGAAATGAATCATTAAAACTTCTCAAAATGTTAAGATCTATAAACATAGTATAATTTATCACGAACTTTGAAATTTAAGAATTCTATGCATAGAAATATGCTGGCATATCGATTGCAGTAGTCAGAAAAATAAAATCAGACGATAGCAAAAATAATTATTCTATAGAACCAAAGCATTTATCAGCGTTTAGTCTTGATTATTATTCTCATCCTTCCGGTTGCAACTGCCTTAAATATTTGATTTGAATGAAGGCCTATAATTGTTTTGGAGAATTTTAACATTTTATATTTTTGATATAGCTCATTGCATATTGATAAAGAAACGAAAAAATATCTCTTTTATCTTTCGTTTTATTGTTCACCATTGATCTGTTTTAATAGACCTTTCTTTTTGGACAATTTATTTATCATTTCTGAATTGAATTTAGTTCCGTTGTCTTTTCATATGGAGAATTTAATTTCAAGTAACTGTTATCATTATTTAAAGATGTTTATTGACTAGACATTTATAAGTTTATTTGAGGATAAAAATGCTTATGATTTATTATTGTCCTTCTTCATGAGATTTTCTTTCTAAGTACATACAGTAAGTAAAAGAGAGAATTTTATTTATAAATTTCTAAAACTGGTAATTTAATATGCAAGAACGATTTTTAATATTTTCAGCAAGTTTCTTTTCTCACTGTACAGTGTAAATAACCGTAAAAAATTCTGAAGTTTATATCATTGCATGCAAAAATTCATAAGTTGAGGAACTGAAGTTACCACGGGTGAATGATACCAAACGTTATTAAGATGGTTAAGAATGGTTTTTATCATTCGAAAGAATTCAATTAGGGGCCATTTATACTCAAAATTAAAACCACACATCGTTGATTTTCTAATGAAATTTCATCTTAGTGTATTCATGTAAGTTTAAATCTTCCTTACAAAGATCTCAATAAAGGAAGTTTTTGCCTTAATCAGCTTTCATTATATCTGTTAGGCAACGATTGCCTGCAAGCTTGTCGCCTTGAAAATAAAAGAAAATGTTTGATTTTTTTTTAATGCTGATAGAGAAGCGATGATTTACTACAGTAGCTGTCATACTGGTAGTGACTAAGGCAGATTTGGTTTCTAGACACAGCATTCTTTCAGTGGCCTCTAATGCCCACTTTTCTAATTTTCATGAAGGAAAAACAGAATATGAGAAGTTATAGAATCATTTGGGGTCACCTAAAACATGACGCCTTAGACCCAGCCTTGTTGGCCAGGTCCTCATATGAAGTAACATAGTAACATTCTCAAAATTTTCTTTATAGAAACATTCAATAAATGGTGCCTTCAATAATGAAACATCTTTGGTTAGTAAGGAGTGCTGGCAATCCGCGAACATTGAATTAGGGCACTCAAATAATCTCTTCATCTAATGTTAAATTATAGCATGCAACTTCGCATAATTATATATCGAAGAAGCTACAGATTCAAATTATAACAAAAAAAACAGATAACAGAAATACGTACATACAATAAGTTATAACATAAATAAAAATTAAAGGTCATTCTTTGTGGGATGGTAGACAGGCACGCAGGCACACTTTGTATGATTGGAGAATACTAATTTTTCGATCTTCTTCTCTGGCGGTGTGCCGTCTTCAAAAACACGTACGCTGTAAAAATGCAAAGTTACTTTCTCTTTCTGGGCTGCCACGCATCTCAAGCTGTCTACGCCGCAACATCCTGCATGCTTACCACATCGATGCAAGAGGGTACAATGTGGTAAGAAGTATCTTCCTGGATAGTGGTCGCTGACATGGATGACTTGGGGCTTGGGCACTTCGCATGCTCCCAACTCTGATACTCTCTCTGAATGAAGGAGAGCAAGTTTTTCAGCATGAAGCAGTCTTCCAGTGACAAAACCGGCGAGGATGATACACGCCACAATCGGGATAGTTGCAGAGCAGACGCTCATTTTCCAAAATTATCTGAAAAGTATGAGCAAAATTTAGGAATTACAGACATTCATTTTTATTGCAATTTAGCATATCCAGTAAGTAGTACCGCGTAGCGTAGAAAAAAGTACGAAAGAAGTTAGTTGGACAAAAGATTTTCACTATGGAAAACAAGTGTTACTTGAGCTATTATTTTACCTAGAGATCCATGATATTTATTCAGAAGTAAAGCCTGTTTTGTGAATCCAAACACTAACAAAACGTATTCGATTTCAATCATATCCACTGCTGTGCATATTAAATGTTGTGCTACTTTGAAAATGAGTAACGTTAAATATCGTACCCTTTAGTTACAGAGTGGCCAATTTATAAAGTTTTGCTTCTGAAAATGGATTATGATATTTTAATTTTGAGAAAAATTTAATATAGAGAAATATGTCTCTTATAGAGATTATAATCCAAAAAAGTGACTTTTTTGAAAATGTTTACGTACTATACTTCCAGAAGTAAAATTAAAATCTACATTTTCTTTCTTTTTTTAGTTTTGGTTGGCAACACTTGTATATATCTTTAAACTTTCCTACCTTAAATTTGTTAATTTTTTTTCTAATCAGCTGCAGCATTAGAAAGCTTTAGACAAAGCTTTTTTTTATGCTCCTTTCAGGCAAGAATTGTCATTTCACGAGGCATAAGATCTTTAACTTATTGTCCATGCATTTCGGTAAATTGTCATTTTTCAAGGTCTTGCCAATCGACGTAGTTAATTTACCTTTCAAATAAAATTACACATTTACTTTTTTAACTAACAGAAATGCTTATAAATAATTTCTTTTGCATTGCTTTTTTGCTCAATAGTTTATAAAGCTGAGTTTATTTAATTTTAATTTCGTCAAATTGAAATTTGGTTTAACCTTATTATGCTCTCAGATTCAGAAAGCAACAATTATTTGAAGAAAAAAAAATCAAAGCTGGACTTGCAAATTATACTATATGAAAAATATTGATACAAGATTTGTAAGTATTTTGAATTAAAAAATTTTCCCACCTTTAAAATACCTTTTAAAAAATGCATTCATCTCTTTGAACCAAAAATAAGCATTCGAGGGCAATACTCATCATCTAAAGAGATAGCGAATCAACTTTCAGTAACGGTATACTTGCCCTAACTCTAAACGTGCCACCGCTGAAAATTTATTGATATTATTAATGACGTTCTAAGTCCCTTTCAAGGTAAATGAAAAATAACACGAATATTTCTGCAGTCCTCTGAGCTTATCCCGTTCTTGTGATAAATGTTAAACTGAAGACATTTTGGATTTTATGCATCATAATGAAACTAATCGTTTATTTTTTATTGTCAGTTTATATCATTCACATAATCAGTTTTATGTGGTCCGCTGTAGCATTGTGAATCTCGAGTTTCTAGCTGAAGAACGAGAATTAATTAAAATTATTATCCGGATAAAATATTACATGAAATCTATGTGGCAAATTTAATGTTACATTCGAAAAACAAATATTCCTGTAAAATTCGAAAGATTTAAAAATAAAGATTATGTCTCTTCTAAATGGAATGACAGAGCAACATAGTAGCAGTTATCTTACAAATACTGGAACGCTAAGATAAGTATAATTTTTTCAGCTAATAAATCTCATAACACGACCAAATTTATTCTGTTCGATTAGTTTTATAGTTTAAGTTCTGGAATCGCAACGATTCTAACCTAACAAGAAACTGCGATAAAATAAGAAGAGGGAACCTTGACATGACATGTGTAGAGTCATGACTCACTCAGTAAAAAGTGCGTGATGTGTCTGGATTTATGACTTGTGAGGGCATTAAGTTGATGACACATGCAGTGAACAGATATATGAAGCAGCTTCACATCACTTGAACTTTTGGAGGGTTTTTGGAATTTTAAGGTAAAAGGTATTTTTATCATTTTACACTGCTTATATTTGAAGTTGGAGAACAATTAGGGATCCGTTGGGAAGTAAGGCACCCCAGGAATGCGATTTGCTCGACCCCCATGCATTCACCTCTGGATGTAATCGAAGTTTTGGAAAACATTAAGAAACAGCGAACCTTTTGATGGAAATAGGACGTCTCATTCGATTCAGGCACAGGCTCTCTCGCTTATTCGCGCTACGTTAGGACGATTTTTGAAAGGTTCTTTACTGATAGATCAAGGCTTTGTCATGAAGCAAGCTTTTGAAAATTAGGAAATTCGATAGCAGTATCATTTCATGTATTAGCATTTCTTATGGCAAACATGATAATATGACATTTGACCAAACAATATGTTAGCCGTAACCCGCGCTGCTGCTTCAGAAAAAAAAGAGAGCATCATTCTGAGTATCAGAATAAGACATCCTTCAGACACTTGTAGAAAACAATCGAATAATTTCAAAGCCAAAATTGAAAGTGCTGCCATCTGGTCTAATAAAAAATAACTAGAATACATAAGATTAGAATTTTTCCTCCTTTCTCTCTTTTTCATTTTGCTGCTTAAATAATATGCATTGGGCTGTCATTCTGATTAACGTCAGTTCTGTTAAAAAATATATATATATATCCCTTGAAAAGAGTTATTTGAGATTGAAAATAAATTAATTAAAATCTAAGAATCTTATTTCAGCTGTGGGAACCTGTTCAAATTGTTCCGTAACGATCGCAGACCATAAATTTCAAAAAGTTTTAATCCTAATTCATTTTTTAACTTTTCTGTTTAGGGCAGATTTACCATACAGTCACTTATTTAAAGAAATCTAATGGTTCTTTTATGTCTGAAGATACTGCGGGCTTTTTCGCCGGATACAAACCGTATTCTTTGCCGTATTTATTCGGATTCTGTGTACGTTTTTATCCGTTTTGAACTTTCTTTCTCTATTCTGAGGAATGACTATCGCTTTCACATTCACTAGCTATTACTCTGACTTTTTTTTCGCCTTCTTATACCTCTTACTTATCGCTATCTTCATTCCTGCGTTTCTTATGCACAGACGTAATTTCATTTTTCATCAACGAAAAATCGAACTCATCTTCACTTGAACTAATTCCTTCATCGTATTCCATGCATGGGCTCCGTAACTTTAAAAATAAAATTCTTATTGCCACGACTGTCGAGTTCGAACTGATGTCGAAGTCGCATATGTAACAATAAAGCTAAAAAATGTATTTAAAAATAGAGATTGGCCACATGTATTTTTAATGCACTTATAAGGTATTTTCTCCCTCCTTTCAGCATGCCTTCGTAGTGTAATGGTAGCACACTCGGCCCGTATTCGAGAGGTCCAGGGTTCGAGTCCTGGAGAGGGCACTGCATATTTTTCAGGTCTTCTGCTTCAAAAAAACTAAAGGACAATAATTTATCTCCACTAGGGATTTGGCGATTCGGTTCCCTAATCTCCAGATCGCCCTTAAAAAGGGAGGGAGGACGTAAGTTATTTTCGCGTCCTCCTTCCAGCATGCTTTCGTGGTGTAAAGGTAGCACATTCGGCGCGTATTCGAGAGATCCAGACTCGAGTCCTGGTGAGAGTATTGCTCCTTCTTCATGTCTCTTGCTTCAAAATAATCTAATGACACTACACACTAATGAAGAGATATTGCCCAATCAAACGTAAATGATCATCATTACCTCTTGAATTATCACGTTCAACCGAGTGGTGATTGAGAGTCACCTCTCGCCATGTATCTATCTCGCCTACCTCAAAAACAAGTAGCCTCAGAACGTTGAAATTGTGTAAATATTACCCACTTTGTTACCCGATTCGGTAAGCACAGTATTTTTATTCTTATATGTTGTTAAATTGTACATTTTATGTTTTAAAATTGATTGAATTATGTTGTTTTTATATTCCGGTTAAGGGTTTCATGCCTTTAGTTAATCTACATGCAATAGTTATAAAATTATCAACAATTTAAAAGTTGTTTAAATGGTATTAAGTCTAACGCGGCCGCCATTTGTTTACATTTGAAACTTATAATAGAATAATAAATTAAAGCAGTTTGTGCACCAACTTAAGTGTCTTTTTTCCGAGTGGGACCAAACGTAAACTTTCAGTTTTGTGCATCGAAAAATCAGTCTTCCAGCCCGCTGGCCGATTAACTTGTCTTTAAGTAGAAAGTCTAATTTTAATTGTAAAAGTTGTTACTTAACTGATTTTGATGTTTTAAGTTGTTCTGTAGTTTACAATTTTTAATGAAGATTTTTTTTGCCTTTCCTCTAGGTGAGAACTGAATTGAACGAGAAATATATCTCTAAAGATATTCGAGGAAATAAATTTAAATTAAATGAATCAAAAACAATTCTGTTTATACATAAAAGCCAATCTCTGAAATTTCTGACCAGGTATTAAGGTATTAATGCAATCATCTTAGTAAAAATCGCCAGATTTTCAAAATGCGGCAAACATTAAATACGCATCTAGTAATTTTTCAGTTTTAGGAAGCAACGTCGTATTTTCTTAAGCGTTTCTTTTTGCGGCATTTTTAATTTTAAACTCAGTTTTAAAAATGGTTGGGCTAATATGTAAGTTCCTCTGAAGATGATTCTTTAATTAATCAGATAACATCTTCAGTCAAACAGTTTTATTAAGGCTAATTATCTTGAAAGGGGATATTCTGCAGAAGAATTTTAAGAGAAATTTACCACATTACATTGAAGTAAGAAAAAACTCATGCATTTAGATTTCTTCGTTTTTTAACGGAAACAGCACGAATGCAAAGCAGCCAATGCTCGGCTATTTTAATCGTTAAATTAGTGTTAAGTTATGACAGAAGTAATTTAGTTTCTTTTAATGTGAAGGGTACAATATTAGCTGAGTATATGAAGTCACTAAGCACGAATTTCGTTTCATGCAATTGCTGCCGAAGCAGGCAGCTGTGTGCACTTCTATCTTAAGAAGTTCTCCAGAAAGCCATCTTACTCCAATCTCTTACCTATTTTATCATAATTTAATTAAATACCAAATCAAAATTTATGTATAGAAAACGAGAGTTTTCAACAGTTGCAGACAACAGTTGTAGGTCA